CCCTGGTGAGGTTGCCTGGCCCACCTGCTCGCCTACCAGGCTAGGCAGACCAGGACTTTGCTGCCCCAAATACCCGGTTGACCTGCCCATCTGCTGGCTGTCTGGACCCTCTAAGTCCAAGCCAGCATACCTTGGAGGGGTGGTAGTCCCTGGATCCACAATGGACCCTTCTTGGGAACACTGTCCCTCAAACCCAAGACCAGCAGATGGAGAGTGCTGGGTAGCTGAAGTGCCCCAGTACTCTGTGGCCCCCAAGCACGTGCCGAAAGTGCCAGAGTCAGGAATTGCCTCCCTGGCTACCCCCTTCCCTGTTGACCTCCTTCTGGGAGCAATTGCAGAATTGGGCCAGTGCCCCTGCTGTAATTCTTGTTCTTTTGTTGTTTGTGAATTATGTGGATACCCCTGGTCAGTCTCCCTGCCTGGAGCACTCTGTGATATGTGTGAATAATGTGGATACCTCTGGTGTGACTCCCTGTCTGGACTACTTATGCATGTGTGGGATGACCTCCTATCCTGTGACTTCCTGTTGGGAGCACTTGCGGAACCTTGGGATGACTCCCCAATAGCCTCAGAGCGGCTAATGATGGCCTATTAGGCCTGTGAAACTGAACCTCAGAATGCATATTATGGTCCTCCTCCCTCTCCAGAGCAGAGCCAGGATCAGAAGGGTGAGAGTCCAGTTTCCAACGCAGTTGGTCAATGTGTCTGCGTCTCCCAAGGCGACTTCGTGTGAAAGTGGTCCAGAGACCTTGCAGACCACAGCTGTGACCCAGAGATGACCAGGCCCATAGTTCTGTGCCCAGACCGGATCACCCATTTGGAGTCTCCTAGGTGCTCGTGGTTGTGACATCTGTGCAGCCACCCGGTCTGGGTGCAATCCGTCCAATTTAGTGATAAGACGGCGACCCCAGCGGAGTTCAGTGGGGCTCTTCCCAGTAGCAGTGCATGGTGTGGTGCGGTGTGCAAGAAGGAAATCTGCTAACCTGTGATGCCAGTTACCGTAAGTCAGTTTCTTGAGGGCATCTTTGGTAGTGCACACCATTCTCTCAGCCAGTCCATTGGAGGATGGGTGGAAGGGAGCCAGATCAGATTGGCCTGAAGAAAACCCTGGAACTCAGAAGAGGTAAATTGAGGGCCGTTATCTGAAACCAGAACATCTGGAAGACCGTGTGATGCAAAAATTCCTCTCAATACCTGGATGGTCCTGGTAGTAGTAGTGGAGGAAACAGGAACAACTTCTACCCACTTGGAATGGCAACCAAGAAGAATTGCCCTTGAAAGGGCCCAGCGTAATCTATATGCACCCTAGACCATGGAGTTTGAGTCTCCTCCCACCTATGTACTGGGGCCTGAGGCATTTCAGGCCAAGACTGGTAGCACACTGGGCACCCACGCACCTGGGCCTCGATGGCTTTAATTGAGTCCAGGCCATCAAAGATGACTGCGTGCAAACACTTTCATCCTGATAATACCAGGATGTCCCTCATGCAGAGAGATCAAGATTCTAGACCTCAATGAGGTTGGGATCACTACCCTGCTACCCCATAACAGGCAACCCTTGAAAGTGAAAAACTCATGCTTCTTGAGCCAGAAGTTTTGGAACTCAGTATCCGGGCACTTGTCAGGCCATCCTGACAACACCCATGTCAGCACGCATGTAAGCATGTGATCAGTGGCAGTTTCTGCAGCCACATCCCTGGCATTGAGGGGAGACTCAGGTAACTCCTGAATAAACAGAATATTAATGGCTGGAGCTGGATCTGACTCTACTTGGTTCAGGGGTAGTCTGCTCAGGCTTTTCCTGGTTTGTGGACCAATGTATAGTCATATGCTGACAGGAAAACGGACCATCTCAGCATACGAGTAGAAATTATATGTGGGGTCTGTTTGTTAGTGGTAAACAGCCCCAGCAGAAGCTTATGATCAGTAAAGACCGTGAAATATAAGAAATCTAAGAAATTTTTTAATGCTGGCTACTATGGCCAAGGCTTCTCTGTCAATTTGAGCATAATTTCGCTCTGCAGAAGACAGAGTCCTCAAATAATAGGCCACAGGGACCTGCGTCCCATCAGCCTTCAGATGACTGAGTACAGCTCCAACCCCATAAGGAGATGCATCGCATGTGATGCAAATATTGAAATGCGCTAAAACTGCATTAGAAGTGAGCAAGGCTTTAACCTCATTGAAACTCTTTTTTGTGGACTTTGGTTCACTGCCAAGAGGCCTGCTTGTCTAAGAGCCTGGGTAAAGACTCTGCTACCGCAGCTTTATGTGGGAGAAATGCATGATAAAAGTTTAATAGCCTCAAGAAGGCTTGCAGCTCACTTTTAGACTTAGGGCTTGGGGCCTGCTGGATAGCCTGCAATTTAGATTCAGCGGGGTGAATGCCTTGAGCATCTATCCTGAATCCTAAGAAGTCAGTAGAAGTGACTCCTATCTTACACTTGTCCTTCTTTAACTTAAGGCCTGCTCTTCGAAAACAAAGCAAGACAGCCCTTAATCTCTCTGTTAAATTTTGAGATGATTCCCCAGCAATGAGGACATCATCAAAGTAGGGACAGACCCCAGGAATACCTCGAAGTTTGCTTTCCATGACACTTTGGAATATACCAGGGGCTACATTTACCCAAATTGCAGTCTCTTGACCTTGAAGGCTTCCCTGTGAGTTACAATAGTCTGGGCCTCAGCAGCTGCCTCATCAACAGGTAGCTTTTGATAGGCCTGTGCCCAGTCAAGCTTTGCAAAAATGCTCCCCCCCCCTTGAGGGAGGCAGAATATGACTTACCACAGGCACTGGATAAGCATGCTGTTGTAGCGCCTTATTCAGTGTGCACTTGTAGTCTGCATATATACATATATCCCCATTAGCCTTTAGAGGCTTAACCCTTATGGGCATGATGTTTGGGTCTAACTGTAGTAAAATTGGGGGCCCCTTGTAGGATCCTAACTCTGAACTAAACACATCTGCAAACTCCTTGCAGACTTCTGCAAGGCTTAACGTTTGCAAATTGTGCAGCCCAGTGACCTGGATTCCCAGGGCCTCGACCAATCGAGTCCAATAAGACTCGTGCGTTCACCCCCAACAACCACCACATCTAGGGGACCTTCAAAATCCTTATGTTGTACTCTAAGGATGGCCTCCCCCTTAACACACACCATAGAATTCTGAAAATCTGTAAGGATTAGATTGGATGGCCTGAGTTTAACTCGAAGGCTGCTGCAGCTGCAAATCCTTTTGAAGTTGTTAATGGAAATAATGGAGAGAGCAGACCCAGTGTCCAACTCCATTGATAAGGGAACCCCTTGCAGCCTTAAATTGATGGACAGCTTCTTCTTAAGGGGCTTATGTGTTCCTGTCCTTAAAATACTTCTGTGCGATGCGCAGAAGCCCACCCTATGTTTGCTGGGGACCCTGGTACCTTTCAGATGCAATTCTTCATGAGGTTGTACCTTCTGGAGACCCAAACAGATGGATGCAATGTGGCCTTGCCTGCCACACGCTCTGCAAATGGCGGAGCAGAATCTGCAATCAGCTTGCTTGTGGCATCCTCCACACCTGAGGCATTGAAGAGATGCTGGGGTCTTGCCCGGACATTCTTTCTGCCTCCTTCCAGCTGGCTGGTGAAGACTATCCACCTCTTCTTCAGGATCCGCTTCCAATTCTTCTCTAGCATCCTCTTGATGGACTGTAGCTGACTCTGGAAGGCTCTTGGTGGGCCGTATGGTCTTCACAGCCCCGCCTGCTGCTTCCTCAGCTGTCAACTCTCGTAGAGCATCTTGGAAAGAGATATCTTCTTTAGCAAAAATCTTCTGCTGTAAGTCTCTGTTCCTTAAACTGCATACGAAGTGATCTCGCAGCCTCTCTTCCAGATCCTTAAATTCACATGGTCTGGCTGCTTGCCTTAAGGCCGCAATAAAATCCGTAGCAGATTCACCCGGCCTCTGGTCTTTCTGCTCGAATGCGTGCCTCCAAGCAATAACAGATAACTTTGGCTGCAAGTGTTCCTTTAGCATTTTCTTCAAATCAGTATACATTATTGATTCCAGAGGTGCAGGGGCCACCAGATTCCCTGCAATTTCAAACGCTTCCTGTCCACAAACACACAAAAGAGTTGCAGCTTTCAAGCCATCCTCTCTAATTTGGTTTACTCTAAGTAATTCTCCACCTTTGCAACATAGGAGTTCCATCTTTCTGGGAGTGAGACATCAAAATCAGCCAAATGACCAATCTTCACCATCATACCTTGCTTCTTTCACCACTCGCTCCTCTGCAAACTTCTGTTTAGGGAAAGGATCTTTTAGCTGAGCTCACCCTCCAGCGACGCTATACTGGCAGGCTGGGACGCTGATTCAGAAGCCGTCTTCCTCTTCAGGACTTTCTTGGTAAGTCCTCAAAGTTTTTCTTTAGCTTGCAAAGGATCCCACCTTCATCGCCAGTATAAAATACTCAGTTCGCTTATGAATGATGAGGAAACATGGCAAATTCAACAGTTCTTTATTTCTCCCTTAGTCAATGCTCCAACAATGAGCAACAGGCACGCAGGCCTCTTTTTAAGCGACCAGAGACCCGGACAATAACACAACAAAGTATCAGGCGTTTTCACGCCTTGCGCATGCACCCAAGGCCAGTGCCACTCAGTCTGGTCCCAGGCAGTTTTTGGAATGCCCGGGACCAATGCAACGTCCCGAGCCTGCTTTTGCAGGCTCAGGACACAACACCTGATATACCTTTTAATTCTGTTATAGGAAGTGGTTACAGCTGTTTGAAGGTTCTTCTTGTTAGTCAGCAGAGATCCTAGGTAATGATTTCCTGAAAGATATTTTACCTTTTACTTTGAACTGGTTCCAAGTTACTCAAATGAAATTGACAAAGCAAAAGGGAACAGAAATTTAGAGCTGATGAATATCTCTAATAAATGGAAATATTATTTAAAATGCAATGAATTTTGAATACTGCAGAATTCTACAACAAACTGATTAAGCTAGTGCACTGCATTTGATTTTAAATAACATATTTGTTTGAAACTTTATTGTACCTCTATTATACAATTTTGGAACGAAGCTGAAAAAAACAATCTTATTTGGTGCCTTCAAATGACCAAATAGTGCTAGTCCCTGCAGGTTTTTTGGCAAGATTTTTCAGAAGTGTTTTGTCTTTGCCTCCTTCCTAGGTCTGAGTGAGAATGACTGTCTCAAGGTCAACCAGCTGGCTTCGTGCCTAAAAGAGGACTAGAACTCATGGTCTCCCTGTTTCTGTACTGATGCATTAACCACTACACCAAACTGGTTCTTGAAAGAAGATTATCAATTATAATATCAGCTATAGAAATTCAAGGGTTGACACTTTAAATACAAGTCCTAATATGTATTTATTCTTCATTTCCCTTGTATCTCATGATACCATGTAAGTCAGTGAACCTCACACGGCCGTAACTCCACATTTTATCTTGAAATGGAAGATTGCTCTGTTTGTTTTAAAGTAAGGAAATAATCACATTAAAATAAAATGCCATCCTTGGGTGCACTGTCCAAAGGTCTCTCTCGTTCCTTCTTCTTAGAATACTTTGCACGTTGATAGAAAACAATGATGATAATAGTTGTAGCATTGAGGGCAATTATAGCAAGCATGATCCAGTATGAATATCCATATGAGTTGGTTTGTGCAAGGGCTGTGGAAACTTTGCATTGTTTCATGGCCAGCTCCGAGGACAGTTTGTTTACTTCCACATTCACTGCAAACAATATTAGGTTTAAGAGACAGCAGATGCCTAAAAGGAAAAAGAAAATACTGCTGATATTGTGCATTTCTCTGTTATGTTTAGCTCCTTAAATATAAACATGCTGAGTCAGTCAACTGCTTCTGGAATAGACTGAGGTACATAGCAAGGGTCACCCACATGGAATTATATTTCTTTATACCAAAATATTATAAAACATCATTCTATATCTCACATGAATTGGACGATAAGTCTCATCACCCACCCATTCCCCAACCATCACACTGTGATGATTTTGGATAATGATCAAAGGCCTGGATTGTAATAGGATTTTACATAGGTTCTGTTTAGCATTTATATATTTTATAATACAGTTTTCTCCCTTGCACAAATTATTTCAATCCTGTTTTAAAAATAGGAATCTCTTGGGACAAATTCAGTATCAGAAATTGAGTTATTTTAGTAGTAGGATCATAAGGATAGCAAAGTACAGCAAAAGAAACTTGATGTAAGTCGAATAGAAGACTGAAGGATTGTAGCTCCAGGGAATGACTGAATGAGTTCATTTTACAGTATAACATTTCACTACTTTTTGATGTATATAAAAAAACAGTTTTTGTCTTCAAGTGTATTTCTATTTTTTTTTCTCTTTAAGCAATGTTTTTCTCTATTGCAATTGTACTCTTTAGGCTGCTCTCCTAAGAACTAAGGAAACCTCATATTTTTTTTCTTGCTGGTTCAAGGAGCCAAAATAAGACACAATGTGAAAGATGAGCCGAGGTGGCGCAGCAGTTAGAGTGCAGTACTGCAGGCCACTTTAGCTGACTGTGTTCAGCAGGTCAGCGGTTCAAATCTCACCGGCTCAAGGTTGACTCAGCCTTCCATCTTTCCGGGGTAGGTAAAATGAGGACCCAGATTGTTGGGGGCAATGTAAATATATATATACATTGCTTACTGGTATACACCGCTTAGAGAGTGCTTGCACTTAAAAAAAGCGGTATATAAGTCTCATAAATAAATAAATTAATGATCAGATTGCCTAACATTTTTAACTTTTAAGAAACTTTGGGCTCAAATCTTTATAGGATTAGGGTGAATGGCATTTCTTCTGTGTCATTTCCATGATCAGGGTATTGGAAGGAGCCAGTGGGCCTTTTGTTTTACACATACATACATACATTCATACATACATACATACATACATACTATAAAGCATATATAATAAAGTTACCAATAGATTTGAGAAAGAATAAGGATTTTAGATTAGGAATACAGTGAGCAAAGAAAGACTTAATTCCCCTCTTCTTCTTCCCCTTTGCCCTTCCTCCTCTCCTCCTCCTCCTCCTCTATTCCAGCAGCTTTGCATATTAGTTATTTAGCTATTATTTGTCCCCTAGTAGGATTTAAAATCTAGAAATAAAAACCAAAAGAACAATGAAAACTCATATACAGTTGTTTGCTGTCTAAATGTAAGTGTATTAGATTATCAATTATTTGAAAACATATCTGTTCAAATGTATATTACTTACAAGACACAGAATTCCAGGTATAAACTCCAATAGGTCCCAAAAATGTTTGGTATGGGTTGCTAATGGCATTGTAACAGGTAAATCCAGAACTAAGGAAGGAACTGAGCATAGTAATAACCAGCAGAAATATAATTACACTGTTGAAAATCTTCAAAGTATCATTTTCTAGAGCACCTGCAACTGAAAGATAATTATTCATAATTAGTATTGCAAGATGCAGAGATAATATAAATAATTTCAATATAGACATATTTCACAAGTACCTGGTATCACCAGCAAAACATTAAAAGGTATTAGTTTCTATCAGCTGCAGCTCAATTCATTAGATGCCTACAGTGGGTGGTTGGAAAAATAGCTACCAGACTTCTGATTTTTATTTTTTTTATTTTTTACCGTAGATGAACATCACTCTCTCTACAATGTTCACATGCATGAATTGATTTTTACAAAGGTAATTTAAAATGTAAAACATAGAATTAAAGAGGCAGTTGATGATAATGATGGCTTCTTTCAAATATGGCCGTGCATGTTGAATTTTTTGTTACCAACTGGATATTGTCCAGATAAAATGAAACTGACACACTGGTTAAATTAGGAAGGACTGTTCTAGGTTTATAAAAACACTTACTAACTATTGTGCATGGGAGTTGCAGACTGACTATCGGTCCATATAGTACTGGACAGTGCTTTTTTTCTATATAAAAAAAAAGGTGCCGGAACTCACATACGTCATACAACCCGCCTTGCCTACCCTACAAGGTTCCATCCAAAAAAGTTGGCGGAACTCCGTTCTGGGCATTCTATGAGAAAAAAAGCCCTGGTCCTGGGTACCACTAATTATTTGGACAGAGCCTATCTGTGCAGAATTGAATGCATATACCTTTGTGTGCTATGCTAGTGACACTGCTTCGTTTTATAAAGATTCTTGTCACATCAGGAAAATATGTGTAATGTACATATATATATACATGTACAATTCACACAATTAATTAATCTCTATTGAGATTTTTGAGAATGTGCTTAGTCCCTGCTATGCATTCGTTATTCTTGGATCTGAATAGCATTAGGACCTATAGAAATTAGGAATCATTCTCAGCAGTCTTAGGAATCCTTCCTCCCTTTCTCTCTTCTATTACTTCTTATCAAAAAAAAAAAAAAAAAAAACCTGAGAAAAGTCTTTGATTTTATTTCTTAATCTTTCCAATTTCTTGAACGTTGTTCAAGATAAACTGTTCCTTGTTGATCTTATTAGAATTGTTTTATAATTCTTTTATTTTCTGATGTTTGTGAGCTTTCTTTATAGGTACAAGGTACAGCTCTCCTCTAATACGCAACCTGTCTAGCTGTCTCTTTTTCCTGATTTTTTTAAAAAATCTTGTGGGAGTAGTTAACCTCATAATAATTTTCCCTGGAATTTATCTGTAGAGTAGAACAGCAATAAAGCTGCAATCTGCTGGAGAGATTATTGCATGATGAAAGGCATATCACCTAGTTTCAACCATCTCATAATATCAAAGTAAGCTTAAAAACAAGGCATTTTCTTCCCATTAGAATTTCACTAGTATATTTTTCTTTTCTAGAAAAAAAAATTGAAGCCATTTGTTTTCTGACAAACAAAAAGAAACTAGAACATTTTGGCACAGCACTAATAATTTGATGTAGTGATTTAATATTTCAAGGACATGATTATATTTTATCCCATAATTCTTTGCCAAAATCCTGTGTTTTAAAAAATAGAACAAAGAGACAAAAATATACTTTGTATGCATTTTTAAAATAAAAACAAAAGGCATGACTATTTCCGCTCAAATATACGCATTCAAACATAACACAGAAACATATTTATGCATTTTCTTAAATTGTCTATTGTTCACATCATGACAAGTTCATCTTGAGAGTAGGCCATCTGTATGTGTGCACATAAATGTCTGTAAAGGGGGTTGATTTCTTTATAAGAATTTCAAATACTTATGCTTGCTTAGAAATGACTAAATGTTGGCAACAATTTTAAATCAAACCTAAACTGAACAAAATTGTTAGTCTGCTTTGATATATGGTTAAACATTTCAAACATAAAGGGTTGGGAATTTATTTAAAAATGAAATATTTTTAATGTTGGGACGTGAGAAATAGCTTATGAAATGCAGCATCTCATTCTAGGATTCTCTGGAAGGCCCAGGAAAGCCTACAGTCATTTATTACACAACATAAATCACAAATGGCAGCCTAATAAGTGTCTGCTAGTTTAATTGTGCATTGTGGTTTGTGCATTTAGAATGCAAAATGTAAGAGAAGAGATCAAATTTAATGTTTAGTCAAGGAAGGCTCATGAGAAATCTGGAGGATAATATCAGACGCCTTATTGTGGTAAGGCTACTAATTAACTGACCTTTTAATATTCAAGCAAATTACTCTTGCCAACAAATTTCAAGCTACCTAAGAATTGCTATGCACAATATGCACTCTGTATAATTCATACTGCAGCACTTTGCACATTTAGTTATCTTGCTAGGTTCCATCAAGAACAGCAGAAGATATATATTAAATTGTTTTATGGTACATAATAAAATGTATTTTGTACTCTCCTAAAATATGAAAAATAATATATGTTCTGATGTAAGAATTATTCTTATTTATTAGGCTCAGCATAGCATTCACCCCAGTGTGATGTTCAATAAGGAGAAGCAGCTTAATTTAACATAATACACAGCTTTTAATAATGGTATTCATATATTATGTGTTGAAAAGTGGAGTAAGAGGCTGACAGCCCTTTGAGGTAGTCCAGACAAGCAACCAAAACCATGAGAACTAGCATTATTGCAAATTATAATAACAGAATCTTACAAGTCTGAAAGCATTCCTCCCCTCCCTTGTCTTTACATTTCAGAGAACTAGGAAGGCTCCCTTCTAAGATGCTTTCTCCAGCCCCATTCCTTTTGTGGGCAGAGTTATCTCTTGTCTAGGCTACTGTCTAGGCTATGTCACCTCTTCCTAAGGTTATTCTCACAGCCCATTATGGTGGGGAGGGTTAGTGGGTAATGACTGTAATGACCTTTCTCCTATTGTCTTTTCTTTTCACAACTGTTAGCTTTGAGTTTGGAGCCACTACTTAGCTATCATGTCTAATAATGTGGTTGATACTGACACCACACTGACTGCTTTTGAGAATGATCTGTGATGGGACTTGCATAGTAGTGTGGCCCTCCTAATACAACCAGATCTCGCTTTTAATTGATATCAATGATCAGTGATACCATCTGTATCACTTCTAACAATTTGGACTGGTGTTATTTCCATTTGGTGGTAATAGGAACAGAGTGATTGAATCTTAAAGTCCTTCTTTATGGAATGCCCAAGGCTCTGTTCTCTCATCCCTCCTATTTAGCATGTAGCTGAACTCAAAGGAAGATGTCATCTACTAATACAAGGTCAGTCAAAATCCTGTCTATATCAGTACATGACTTTGAGCTAAACAGGAGATACAGTTGAACATTGTCTTAGTGCTAAACATTATGAGAGTGTGGATGTGAAAAAGAGACTGAGATGCAATCTCTCTAAGACAGAGTAGATGTGGTTTTGGATTTAGCTAGGCCAGTGATGTCTCAAAAGTGCTTTTTCAGGAGGCAACTGGACTTTCTTGTTTTTCTTTGAAGAACCAAGAAGAAGCGAAACGTCTTCAAAGAAAAACAAGGAAGTCCAGCTACCTCCTGAAAAAGCACCTTTGGAACAACCATAATCTGGATGACTGAGAATCTCCTTAGACACTAAGCCAGTGATATTTTATTCTTTAGTTATGGTCAGATTTGCATGCCTCTGGACTGAATTCATTTGCCTGAATAACATCACTATGGTACTATTTTAGCTGTACTGTTGATACTGATGTGAAGAGAGGGCTTTTTTGTTATTCTAGTTTAGTTTTACTGTTTAATCTTGCTCAGTGTTTGCAGTAGTAAAATAGAATAATATTAAAACCATATCAGTTAACAGTTATCCCTTTATTATTTTAAAAAACTATTGGATTATCTGATTTTATTTTAAATTTTACACAGGTGATTCTTTTCTGTGGTCCATCACAATTTCATTTGCATATTAATTAGTAAACCTATAAATATAAAATTTGTTCTACAGTGTAAATAATGTAATAAATACCAGTATAATATAGAAAGGCCTCAGTAAATGTAACAGTTAAAATCAAAGTACATTTGGCTGGCTTGTACCATCGTAGCATCACAAGTAGGAACACAATATAGATTGATAAAAGACAGTTTTCTGTGAAAATACCCTAGAATTCCTTCATAGGACTGAAGACTGTGAGGATCAGGTGCTGTTTCATACTGATGCCTATTTTTTTTCATATATTTTTAAATTTGCAGCATCTTATTAAAATGTAAGAAAATAAGAAGACAGCCAGAGGCAGATAATTAAGAAGACTGTCACATGCATCTACAAAATGTGGAGGACTTTGATATCATTGCCTTTATATATATATATATTCCACTGGGGATTCCGCTGGTCAAAGACAGATTAGGTTCCCAAAGTGATCAACCAGCTAGAGATGAGCCCGATAAGCTTTTACTCAACAGCAATTGGGTTTCAGAAAAATACTCTTGAGTAATATAAGGCAATGTATGGCACTCTAATTAAAAACTTTATGTTCCATGAACTTCCTTATAAAGTTATCTAGGTGATATAATTGTTGAAGTAGTGCATTTATTTATTCAAAAATCATTATCAAAGTAAAATTAAATTATTTATGTCATATTTATTTTTCTCCTTCTCCTGACTTTACTTTTACTTTCTCACAATTGCTTTCTTGTCCCATGCATTCCTAGCCTGCTTCTCCTGCTGATACTCCTATTGGATTGCTGGAAAAATGGAACTACTTGATTAATCATTGATAATTTCATCTTCCAAGATTTTTTTTAAAACAGTCCAAGCAATGCTATTGCTACATTGCATTTGACTGAATTCTACAAATTAACTATGTGGAGGGTTTAGTGAAATGCACCTTTGTAATTACCTGAACATTTACAATAATGCACATTATATACAAGGCATTTATTAACTTATTATTATTATGGCTATTATTATTATTATGACTAGTAATGTTACCAGGTTTTTAAAGTTTGCTTGTAAAAACTTCTTATAGGTTATTTATTGTACAACAATTTCCTCCTGAAAGACTTTACAGTAAATGTAAATGCCTTACAGTAGTGTATAAACAATGAATGCTTGGCTGAAAGTTTACAATAGTAAACAAAGCTACTCGCAAGGAGAGAGAGAGAGAGAGAGAGAGAGAGAGAGAGAGAGAGAGAGAGAGAGAGAGAGAGAGAGAGAGAGAGAGATTTTGGTCAATGACCAGCATTATTGCCTTCACTTGTTATTTACCTTGAAAACTGGTGTGAGGTGAACTAATTCCAGGAGATACATCTGAGCAAACTCCTTGAAAAAGTCCATATGTAATTATTAGCTTCATACTGGAATTTTCGTTGGAATTGTTAATTTCACTTGATACCCAGTTTTTAGTTGCAAGCACAATGCAAACTATAACAAAAGAGCATAGGCTGGTGAAAAAAGCAGAGGCGAACATCAAGGTTTTTCTCCTGGATGGCATTTTGTTCGAAAGAGAAGAGTTTTCCTAAACTATAATAAGATTTCTGCACCAACATGGAGTTCTGCAGTTCTTTTGATGAGAAGTCCAGTCTATGAAAGCTTTGCCACTCTTCCAGAAAAAAAATGAGAGCACATTGCCTACACTATAAACTTTGTACTAACAGGAATGGTAATAAAGAAATAAAATAGCTGAACTTTGGTCTGCTGTAAAACATTACCATGGTGACAAGAAAAATACTCAGTTCATGACATACTGAGATTTTCATAATGAAGCCTCAAAGTTAAACTTTATCTCCATAAGGTGAATGATGAAACAATTATTTATAATGTCACCCAGAATAAATGATATTTCTACATTTTTTTGTGTCATGGTTAAAAAACATGGCAAGTTTAAGGATTGCTTTATTGTGGAAGAGCTGAATGGCATATACACTCCACCCTTTTTAAAGATGAAGTGGTTGTTCAGCAAAGTGTTTGCTAAGGGAAAGCACAACTATGCTTACCACCTGACTTCAGCTTTCCTTGGTTTTTACAGGTCTGCAAATGTCATAAATGCAAAGATTGGCCACAAAGTTTTTCACCACTGTTGTAGCTGCGAATGGCCACTGTACAAGGCAGTCAATAAACAAGGACTACTTGTACACCTTCCTGCAATCACTGAGTGCCAGTATTTGCATAGTTCCTAAATCTAATGCATTGCACATAAAAGTCTAAGGCAGGGGACTTCAAACTTGGCCCTTTTATGACTTATGGACTTCAACTCCCAGAATTCCTCAGCCAGGCACGCTGGTATGCTGCCTAAGGAATTCTGGGAGTTGAAGTCCACAAGTCATAAAAGAGCCAAGTTTGAAGACCCCTGGTCTAAAGCGTGAAGTTTGAGTTTGAGAGTTTGAACCATAGATTAACTAACTATGGTTATAGCTAGCCATGTCTTAGGAGTCCCAATAAAAGACAAATCTGGTCACATGGTGCTATATGTTACTTTAGATACATGGTAGCCACATTTTCAATTATCATGAGAAATTGCACTATACAAGTGCTGTTACAAATATAAAAAAAATGTCACACTAGGAAAATTCCTCAGTAAATACCCTTTTACAGAAATTGGGTTTCCTTGCATGTTGATTGATTGCACAGTTCTTGGAATGCAGAATCCTCCTTATTAAAATGGGAGGTGCAAAGGAATAAGAAGACTTAATGAATTTTATAATGTATATATGTAGAACATTAATACTGATAAAATTAATATTTCACATACGCTAAACTCGTGTGAAACGTCTAAAACAGACATATCAAACACAAGGCCTGGGAACAGTGAGGGAACAGCCCCCGCTGCCTTGGGCCTGGCCCAGGCCGGCCGGGAGCCAATGTACAATTTTGTGGTAACCATCTATGTTGAAATGCATTCAGTCTCCCTCTGACTTTGCCCTGGTGCCCATCATGAACAACTTGGCTAAGGAGAGCAAGCACAGCAGTAGCAGCCTTGAGGGGGAGGTAAGTGCAGCTGGGTACCCCCTTGGGGAAGTGGGACTGGGCTTGGTGCTATGGGTGCTCGAGGGCCAGGCTGGGCATTTGACCTCTCCTGCCCAGGGCTCCAGGCAGCTCTCACCACCATCCAGCCCACCCCATATGGCTTGAGAGGAACAGTGAGGCTCCTCCAGTGGACCATGCCTTGGGACTTGCCCTGGTCCCACCTCCTTCTTCCAGAGACCCTCAGATTTGTCCCTCTCCTGCCCAGGCCCCCACAGTCACCCTTGACGCGAACGATGTAGAGCTGGCCACACCCACCCAGTAGGCTGCACCCACCCTGGCCACACCCACTCGGCCCCCCAAGGGCAACTGCAATGCTGATGCGACCCTCAATTAAATTGTATTTGACACCCCTGGTCTAAAAAGTATGATTCAGGAGAGATTCACTTGAATCTTCATTTTTCCTGGATATTCAAATTGAAATTTTGAATTCATTTGAAACATAAAATAAAATAATATAAACAACAGTGATAACATACATAAACTGAAACCTAGTTAATAAGCATAAGCAATATATAACATGTCATTCTCAAAAAAGGCTAAGCCAATGAGCCAAGACAGCAAGACAGAAGTCCAGAAATTTAAGTGATAAAGAATAGTTAAGTTTTCTGCTTTAATAAGCATAATCAGTGTGGCATAATGGCTCAGCAGATATAATGTTGGGCTTGTCAGCTGGAAAGCTGAGAGTCCAGAGCACTGCACAATGTTCTCACCCTAGCTCCTGCCAACCTGGCTGTTTGAAAGCATGTAAATACAAGTAGATAAATAGGTACTGCTTTTGCAGGAAAAGTTACAGTATTCCATACTTTTGTGCCAGCCACATGATGATGGAAGCAGCTCTCAGATAATGCAGGGTCCCTCGGATGAGAATCAGAGATGAGCACTGTCTCTTTGAGTCAGTCATAACTGGACAGGGAAAACCTTTAGGCTTTAAGTATAATCAATTCCTCAAAAAACAGTGAGATTTACTCTTGAATACTAAGGTGTAATATTGCTCCATTCCATATAATCTGTCATTAATAAAATATGAGATTATGGACTTAAGAATTTTTTTTAAATATCTCTCCCTTGAACCCAGGTTTTTGCATTATACTATTAATGTCGTATTCTGAATACAGAATTAGTTGGTGTTGGGATAGCAAACTGTCTGAACCCATAGTTTGTTTTTGATCACTTGATTGCATGGTTTTATTTATGGCTGCCTGACTTACTTCTGATGGTGTCTATTGTGCCAACTCTAAATCATAAAGATGCAAAATTAGAGCAAATAGAAAAGATGGATTTGATCAAGGAAGCCAATATAATAGCTATTCTGACTTATTTCTGGACTTTTCAAGTCATTGGCTCAAACAAAGGATATGATTAACCACAATAAATGTTCAGAGGTCATAGCTGATACAAAGCTTACAGATGGGATTTCACATCTTCCAATCACTTTCTTCTGAGTCATGTTCAGGCAAATATTAGATAATTTAGTAGTAACCAGAACAACTTCAATAGGAATATTTTTTTTTTGCAAAATACAGTATTAAATGTTATGCAGCAGTTGCATATCATTGAAGTAGTAAAGAATCTCATTTATGCATAATAAAGTTACTCACAAAATATGTGTAGGAGTTGATATCATTCATATGGATGGAAAAGAATATATTGCATAGGTTTTATTGGCATAGAAACAAATAATTTTGCTGATTCAATCACCATCTTAATTTTAAGAAGACCAATAAATTCACTACTACCATTACACATTCTTTAAAGGGCTCATGACATATGCACAAATACCTATATAGTAAAGTGTATGGATTATCAGATTTGAAGGAGAAAGATGAGTGAAAGGTAACAACCATTCCTCATGTTTTCATTGTGTTTTACATTGCTAAAACGTTTGAATCCTTAAAACAAGGGTCACCAATCCCTGATCCACAGGGGAACCAGGCAGTGCAAGCAGTGGGTGAGCACACAAAGTTTTATTTGTGCATGTGAGGGATTAGGTTGTGTGCACGAAATCATCCCCTCTCCCCTTGCCACCATTACTGCCTTTCACAACTGCCTGTCTGTGGCACCAGAAAGGTTGGGGACTTAGAACATCTTATCACAATTTCCTTGCACAATCATCATTCTCTCTCTCTCTCTCTCTCTCTCTCTCTCTCTCTCTCTCACACACACACACACACTTATTCACAGGTGCATATTTCAGCAAATCAGAGTTCCAAATCTTTTCTAAAAAAATTAATAACTACCATTCTAGTTTTCTTTATGAGGGAAGTAAGAACACTGTAAAACTACATCTAAACATAATTATTTTCCTAGCAACAATTGTACACAATAACAAAAAGAGACTAGAATCCTTCAGTTTGCATTTTTTAAAATGCTGACATGCATGAAAATCCTATAGAACTTTTGAGAATGGGATTTTGATTATGTTAAATATACTTGTAAATCATCCTACGGAGAACAGTAGGCCAGTCTGCTTTGCATCTGCTAGGATAAAATTAGTGCAAAATTCATCAAATTTATTCAAGCCAGAGGGCAAGGCAGTAATGTTCTTGAACAGAAAAAGAGATCCAAATCTATGATACATTGACTGAAAAATAAAAGTTTTTTTTCTGACATGATACTACACCAGAATATAGGCCATGGAATGAATAACGTGTTAATGAAATTATTTATTAAATGCCTCCTGTTTTTCCATTGCCAATATTTGCACACACAAAACAAATTTTAATGGGTGTGCCTGGTGGAATAGTCTAAAGACATGCTATAGCCATAACCTATTTATAAATACTACACAATAATAATTGATCTATTGTTTTTTTAAATTTATATTTATTGAAGATTCTACACAAAATAAAAAGCTAATCTAAAGGAAATGATAGAAAAGAAAAAAATAAAGCCATGCAAGAAAAGAAAAAGCTATGTTGTTATCTCCCCGTGCCTTAACTCTTCTAGAAATCCCTTCAAGTCTAATTTAATACTCATGTGATAATAATTAATAATGGTGATTGGAAGCTACAGGCATAGTGATGAACAAATAGCTCAACCTTTGATCCTCTTTCAATCCACCCTAAAAAATATGTCAGCGGGAAGAAGCAGCTGTTCTTTTCTCTACAGGTAATGTAATTATTTCCCAATGGTCTTTTCCAATGAGTCCTCTCTTCTCATTTGGTAGCCAAAATATTGGAAAAGACCAATTTGATCATTGGAAAAGACCCTGAGGTTGGGAAAGATTGAAGGCAAAAGGAGAAGGGGATGGCTATAGATTAGATGGTTAGATAGTCTCATCGACCCATTGAACATGAATTTGGGAAAACTCCAGGAGACAGTGGAGAACAGAAGGACTTGGCATGCTGTGGTTCATGGTGTTGCGAAGACTCAGACATACTTAATTTTTAATGAAGAGAGAAAAAAAATGAACACAGAGAACTGTGTCCAGCTAAAAGACATAAAAATGGAGTTGCAAAGTGACTTTAGAATTTGAGATGGGGAATGGAGAAAAACATACTAGAAATAATCATAACTTTGAAGTAACTGTGGGTGGATAGACTTAGACTGTGAGAAAGAACAACAGTGATTATGCATTTTTAAGCACAGTCAGCCCATCTTCTGATATGCACACAGGTAAAGAGTTTATGCATCACCTGATTTCTGTAACCATGGTTTTCAAATAGGCCACAGTTCATCATTTACAAAGCACAATTTGTGAACTCAGCTAGGAGAATCAAAGCATAATTTGTTGGTTGTAGATCAAAAGATGCTTTGGATAAAACATTAATAGGATTTGAAAAGAAATGTATGTGAATTTTAGACACAGAGATGGTTTCCCTAATTACTCTTTCCAATTTCCTTTTGACTTATACCCATGCATCTTAGCCAGAAGCAAGCCTAATTCATACAATAAGTAAACATGAGTAAATTGCTTTTTTACATTCTGGATCATATGATCTGTATCCAGCAGGATATAAAGATGTAAGAAAAACAACAGAAAATGAAACACACAAATTGGATAAAGACAGTATTTACAGTAGAACTGTAAAAACAAGTTTATGATATACATGTACAGAATTCTTTGGACAAAGCAATAGACTGATGTTTTGAACTATAGCTTACACACTTGCTTATTGTCTAGAGCTGAAGTTCAGTGTGACTCCTACTGATATGCATGGTTTGACAGTGCTTTTTCCCATGGATATATTCATCCTCCTAGTCTAGTCAATAATTCTTGGTAGAGAAACTTGTCTGGGCTTGGAAGCAAAGTGGAACTGAATTTTGTTAGTACTTTGAGGGGGAAATGCCAGAGCTGGACTGTAAAGTCAAATGAGCCCCTCAGAAGAAAGCAGTGGCAAATGACGTCTGTTTCCTGTCATGAACGCTCCATGGATGGAGTCACACCAGTAAGCGGGTCTCAATAGGGCTTGATTTTTCCAATCCAGCTACTAACAGAAAACTTTGCTTGGTTTCAGAAATCAGCCAGAGTCATGCTGTTAGAGCAATGTAAAAATAATAATTCTTTCTCCTCTTCTCTTTCATATCCCCTACTTTATGTTAGGCAAGGAAGCATTTTTAGATGAATATCATCATCCCCGAATTATAAGAGACAAACATGTCCCCCTCCAGTGAGCTGTTTAAAAGTGGGCCTCTCTCTCTCTGTGCAGTCTCTTCTTCCTGGCTGTCCTGTCACAGGTGCGAAAAGGCTGCTCCTGCTGATGCTGTTCTCCAGGCGCCTTCCCAAGCAGAGCAGGTAGGCATCTGCAGCTGCTGCAATGGCGTCTCTCCGACACCAGGCGGCTCCTCTGCTCCGCTGGCACCGCCTCTGAATTTCGGCTGCACACACGGGGAGGCAGGCAGGCAGGCAGGCAGGCAGGCGAGGGAGAACGGAGGAAATTTCCTGCTTGGTTGCGAACGAGGTTCCTGCAGCTGAGTCGGATAGGGTGAATGCCAGGGCGTCCCCTGCTTGCTGCTGCCGCCGCCGCCGCCGCCGTCTCAGTTCGCAACCGGCGGGGTGAGGAGGGTATGAGGAGCCGGCGTGCCTCGAGGAGCCGAGCTGGGCGAGTCCCTGGAAGGTAAGCGAAGCGAGCTGGCGGCGGGACACGAGGCCGGGTGGCCAAGCAGGGCAACGGGTTCTGGCTGGCCGCCGCCTAAGCTCTCCCCCCGCCGGGAGTCAGGCCAGCTCGGGCTGTTTTTCCTCAGCGCAGCCAGGGGGTCGGGGGCATAGAAAGGCAACGCGGCTGCTTTCTCCCACTCAGTCCGGTGTCGCGCCTGGCCATGGACCGAATCGACCCCTCCCCTTCGCCGCAAAGAGGCTCCGGCTGCCCTGGGGCAAAGCGTGCCCTGGCAGAGAGACTGCCGAGGAGGCGAGAAGGGAGAGAGGCTGGGTGTCCGTGTGCCCTACCTTGCCTCTGCTTGCTTGGCTGCCCGCCCGCCCGCTGGAGGTGGGAGTGTGAGGAACGGAAATGGCATTTCCCTTGGCAAAGAAAGCGCCATGAAGGAGGGAAGCCAGAAGCAGTTCCCAGGCAGGTGGCGGGCGGGAAGGAAGGAAAGTCGTCTGGTGAATTCGAATGAAACGCAGTGGGGTGGGGGGTGGGTGGGAGGAAGAGGCTGCCATGGTAAATGGAAAGGTCTTTACTTGAACAAAAATGAAGTTTAGGGATTTCAACAGGGTCACATCTCATTCCTATGGGCTCCTCATGCGTTATACCTCAGTCATGAGAAGAGGAATAAAAGCCAATTTGCATTTAAACTACAATGAGGGATAACCTTTGATATCCAGCTAGCATTTTGTTTACCCGTTCTGAGCACTTAGGTATTTGCATATAGCCATGGAACTATTGGTAAATAATTATTTTCTGAGTGTTAGAACAATTAATCAGTGGAACAACTTGCCTCCAGAAGTTGTGGGTGCTCCAGCACTGGAAATTTTTAAGAAGAGACTACACAGCCATTTGTCTGAAATGGTATAGGGTTTCCTGCCTGAGCAGAGGGTTGGACTAGATGACCTCCAAGGGCCCTTCCAACTCTGTTATTCTGTTATTAGAATGCTGCTTAAAGGGCAGAAAAAAAATGTTCTCACAGCAACCTTCTAAAGTAGTTCAATCCTGTCCACTCAATGGAGAAATGATGGGCAGTGGTGTGAAATTGGAATGGAGGCATTTACACCACCTTCCTATGCACACTTCCTCAGAAGTACATACTCTATTCAGTAGTGAAGTTTCCCTTTTAAGTGACTTTAAGATGGTGCATCCATAAATGTTGGGCTGGGGAACTTAGCAGTCTAATGCTTTCAGTCTCTGCATCTGAGCTTTTGAGGTGTGAATGCTGGCTCCAGTGAGACACATTTTATACAGTGCTCTGCTTACATGCTAATTCTCACTAGATTAATTACTGTATTACTTTGAAATTCTCAGAGATTAACTACCGTACTACTATGAGATGGCCAGGTTAACAGTGGCACCCCATTTGATTAATAGCATCTCTTTCATTTTGGCTAAACAAGGGAGGTTTGGGGGCAGTTAACAAAGATACATTTCTAGTATGGCTTTTGGCCAAGCCTTTTTATTGGAGTTTTTAACTGTTATTCATCTCTTACATCCTAGGAAGGTATTTTTTAATATAAAATTTATTTTAGTTTTTAGTTTAGCCTATGGTATAATGGAACCTGTGCTCAGCACCTATTTGATATGCTTTGGTTGCATTTCTTTTCTTGTCGTGTATTGAACACAATGTGTTAAAAATCTTTGTATTAATTTGTGGAATTTATTTTCTCAGTGCTTTCTCTGGAATGGAGAAGTCTGGGTTTAGATGAGTAATGGCTGAGATTCAGTACTGTACTATTGTTCTGCTAGATATTGGGTCTCCTGGACAGAGAATCATTTAGATGGTTACAGGTTAATGTAATTGCCACTTTCTAGTATATTCTGTGTTATAATAAATAATATATCTCACATTTTGGATGTACATTACTACATATCATCAAAAAATACTGAAATAAATTGAAGATGATTGACCTTATAGACCAAACCTGTTTATTTGTGGTTATTAAATCTTGGTGTTTCTATATAGCATTATAATACGCAAGTTATTTATTCAGCCTTGAAGAATTCTTGTAAGTCTATGAGTGTTTCATACCTTATATTAATATTGCCCCTCCCCAAATGCTTAACAGGTTGGTGTGCATTTTATAATTACCTCTTTGAGGGGTTAAATTGGTGCAACAACAATGTCATTAATATCATCGTTTTAACAGTTGCTGTTAAAAATCAGCAATCTTTTAGGAGAGAAAGAGAAAGGGAGCAACATGTAGTATTCAAATTGCCTATTCTTGATTTAAGACTTGATAATCATACATTTGAAAAAGTTCCTTTATCTGATTACTACAGCTAACTTGTAAGTGAAGGAATACATATTAAAGACTGTCAAACTCAGTTTCTGTCTGAACCCTATTTAACTCATCATTTCTTTAGATAATTGTTTTTCCTCTTTATTGTTATTATAGTTAGAATTTTTTTTTATATGTGGCTGTCTTTAGGTACTTGAAAAATACTTTTATATTCTTCTTGGTCTTTTCAAGGCTAAATATATTGAGCTCCTTCAATCATAATTTCCAGTTTGCAAATGAGAAACTAAGGATCAAAGTAAATGTTTATGCCTGAAGCTGGTCATACCCACTCAGGTTGGTGATCTTCAGAGCCACAGGTTTCTAAGACAGAATCTATACAAAAGTTTGGGATTGCCAATAATAAACTTTTTTTAAAAAAATATACTCTTCTGTGCTATTTTCCACAGAATCAGTGGTAAAAGTTACTATTAAATTTATATGCTATCCACCTCACTGTGAAAAGCAACTCTGTCTCTTGGCATGGTTTTGTAGACTGCAGTATTGGAAGAAGTGAGTTATGTGGAATAGGACTAGACATAAGCCTTATGTGGTGATGTTGGAGATATATTTTGTAAGGTGAAAGATTTATATAAATTGAAGAGAAACCAGAGTATTTAGTAAATGTCAGATGGTGTTAGAGATTGGCTTTGGAAATAGCCATGTATTTTTGTAATATTTGATAGTGGTCTGGGTTTTAGTTCTGTCCTTTTGTAATAAATTATAGAACATAGAAAATTGAATTACAGGATTACAGTTATATGGAGAAAGTAAACTGCAACAATCTAGAATTATGACTGCCAACCTATGTAGCAAGTTTATGAGCCAATGTGTTCATATAGCACTGTTATGAATTCCTGTTGAAAATCAGGAGTGATACCTTTCATCTGTGTCCTAGGGCTGCTTAAATCTTTCAGTATAGAGCAATCTACTATCTGTTTTGAGCAATCTGTTATAGTGTTACTTAATGAGTTTTTCTTGTGATTTATGAGAATTTTATGCTTCCAATACTTTTCAAAGCTACCTATTATCTGGATAGCAGTTGTCACAGAATTTGAAAGTTGGTAGCTAATTTTGCTAGATGCATGGTATGAATTGGTAATTAAAAGTAGGAGCAATAATAAGTGAGAAATCTACATTTTATGATTTTTATGATATGTTTGGGTTTCTATGCTTTATTTTATGCTGATTATTGTGAGCTCCTGACTCCAGGATTGAGATAACAAACAAGTAAATAAATAAAGCATCAACATTGCGGTTACCCTCGGGGTGATGGGTGGGTGTGGCCTACTGGATGGGAGTGGCCAGAGTGGGTGTGGCTTACTGGGTGGGCGTGGCCAGCTCTACATTGTTTGCGTCAAGGGTGCCTGTGGGGGCCTGGGCAGGAGTGGGACAGATCTGAGGGTCTCTGGCAGAAGGGAGTGGGACCAGGGCAAGTGCCAAGGCATGGTTCACTGGAGGAACCTCACTGTTCCTCTCAGGCCATGCAGGGGGGGCTGGATGGTGGCACGGGCTGCCCAGAGCCCTGGGCAGCAGAGGTCAAGCGCCCAGCCTGGCCCTCGAGCACCTGCAGCACCAAGCCCAGCCCCACTTCCCCAAGGGGGCACCCAGCTGCTTCTCAATGCTGCTGCTGCTGTACTTGCTCTCCTTAGCCAGGTTGCTCATGATGGGTACGAGGGCAAAGTCAGAGGGAGGCCCATTCCCTCTCCATGGGAGAAGACCCGGCTTTGTATCCAAAGCTTTCTTAGCAATAGGTTGTGAGACTCCAGGAAAGGCCAGGAGGAGGGGGCAAGGAGATGGTGAAAAGGGCAGCAGGGCAGGACTAAGGCAGGACTTCCCTCAGACCCTCCCTCTCCTTCTTTCTTTCTTTCCTTCCTTCCTTCCTAAGTACAGAGTGGTGGGAAAATATTTGGGAGGGAGAAAAACAGGTAAGAAACACAGCTCAGCATGCACCCAGGGGGCGGGGCCGACGTGGCAGGGGCTGGTTCCTTGCTGTTTCTAGATGGCCTTGTGGAGCTAAGACTGAATGTGTTTTAGCATAGATGGCCACCACAAAATTGTACATTGGCTTCCGGCTGGCCAGGGCCAGGGCCAAGGCAGCGGGGGCCATTCCCTCACTGTTTTCAGGATGGCTTCGCGGGCCGCATGAAATGCTTTGCGGACCGCATTCAGGCCCTGGGCCTTGTGTTTGACATGTCTGAAATAAAGGAACAAATTTAAAGTAGCATTTTATCTTTATATTCATAAATTTCAAGTATACTGTCCAATTAAGGAGCAATTTATAGATCTGTGTTTATTTTACAATTACATCTTGTAAAGCAAAGTTAAGATTATTGTGTACGTCATTGAAAGCAGAAATTGTTCATTTTTGCATTTCATTAATTCCTGATATTTAAACTCCCTTAGTACTGCACTAAATAAACTTACCCTGTTGAGTAGCATATGATACTTAGGGGCATTAATGTGACAAATGAATTTAATTAACTCTAGTGGCATCCTTGCCGTGTATGTCTAATATGAATACTTATTTTTATATTAGCATTACAGGTATTTTCTTGGTTGGAAAACAATGAGTTTTCTTGGTTGGAAAGCAATATTTACCAGTGCAACATTATAGTTTCATTTTGTTTATGGATCAAGTAATGGCAAGATTATAACTGACCCATATTTTTTAAAAAAATTCTGTACCTT